AGTCTCTGTTCCTTTATGAACACATGCTACAGGCTAGTGTTCAATAAATGCATGAGGATGAATCAATGTATCTATAGTCACTCTATAATCTAATCAATCAATCAATGGTCTAGGGTGCTCTTAGTTTAGAAACAGAACACCTGGCTCACCCTCAAAGCTTCTGATACGGGTTTCACCCCCTTACCAAATGTGGCCAGTGCAGGTTATGTGGGGATTAGCTTAGGGACTAACACAGAAATGCACTTGGAAAAGCTTGAGTTTGAGCCTTTGGTCCCCACAGCCCAGACAAAGCCCAGCACCACAGATGAAGTATTACTCGTGCTCAAACTCTCTAACCCGCCTGGGGGAGTGGCACCTGGCAAACCATACCCTATCACTGCAGCACACGCCTGGCCTGCCCATCACTCAGTACCCGAAACGAAAGGCAGCCTGGTAGCTTTCAGCCAGGGAGCATCTGTTGAGCTGACACTGGTGCCAGTGGGAACAAAGCCAGTGAGCCTGGGTGGGGAGTGAGGAAGTCAGTCTAGATAGAAAAAAGTCAGGCCAAGAGGTGGAATGCTCCTTACATTAAATACTTAAGGGTTTCTACAGTAAAGCCCTGAGGAATTCATCATGGAAATGTCTGAGAGCCTCTGTCTGGCCCAGTGCTGCAATGCTACTTCATGTAAAGCAGGAGGCACTAAAGGGAATGCTCCCAGCAGCTCTTCTGCCTGCCAATCCTCTTCCTTACTCAGTATCCCTTTACAGGATGAGGCCAGACAAAGTCTCACACTCTGTTCTCAAGGACTGCCAAGCAGATAAATTCCCCGCCCCACCCTTCCCTTTAAAAAAATATTTGTTTGTTTGTCTATTTATTTATGGAAGGCTAGGACTGGGTGTGTGGGGGTACACCTGCCATGGTGTGTGTGTGAAGGTCAGAGGGACGACGTGCAGGTCTCAGTTTTCCCCTTCCATCATGTAGGTTCTAGATACTAAACTCAGGTCATCAGGCTTGGTGGCAAATGCCTTTACTCATGGAGCCATCTCATTACCCTCGTTCCCCTCACATTATTTTTCCCCAGACAAGGACTCATTATGCTGCCCATGGAAATCTGAATATGGCAACATGTGGACTAAGCAACCCTCCTGCCTCAGCCTGCTGAGTAGCTGGGACTCCAGCAATGTGCTACTTCCCTCTGTCAAGCTTTTTAATATGTTCCTTTCCTACTTAGAGAAAAATGGGCAGGGAAAAATCTGCCAGTTCACATGGTCAGACAACTGGCTTCCTACTGACCAACTTTTTCATAAATTATTCCCTCAACTTTCATTCTCTTAGCCATTCACATCAAAACAAGGCAGAAGTTCACTCTTTTCCACAAGCAAGATGCCTGTACTAAGGCAAAGTTCCCAAGTATGATGCTTTCTTTATCTTCATTGACCTGTGAACTCCATTAGGGAACAGACTTTGTTATTTGGCTTCTATTTCCAGAGCCTGGCATGATGCCTGGTAAACACAGTAATTCAGTGAGCGTTTGGTGAGTGATTGCCTGCACACATATACCAGCTGAGCAGTGGTGGTGGTAGGGAACTGATCTCAGTAAACACAAAAGTATGATATTTGATTCTTTTCATGGTTTTATTAATTAGAAAGTGTTTCTACAATATCCCATAAGCATTACTTGTTTGTGATATTCATGACATTAAGCATCCTAATGGGGCTTTTCCAGTAGGTTTTGTCTCTCCCTATACAATTTTCAATGGCTGTGTATATTCCCCTCATTCAATGAAGGAATAAAGTAATGGTTATTGGTCAAACCATATTATAATCATAGGTCTATTAAAATCTCCCAACACAAACACCAAAGTTTTTAAAACAAAGTTTATCCCCCAGGAAAAAACACTGGCAGAAATTCATACTGCCAAAGACAATGTTAATATAACAACCAATACTAAGTATCTTGAACCAGGTGTTGAGGGACATGCCAGCAACTCCAGCACTGGGGAAATGGAGGTAGAATGAATAGGAATTCAGTAATCCTTTGCTACATATGGAGTTCAGGGACAGCCTGTGTTAGAAACAACATGCCTGGGATGTGGGTCAGTGAAGTGCTTGCTATGTAAGCCTGAAGATGCAATGTCCAGCACCTACTTAAAAAGCCAGGCATAGCAGCACCCAGCTGCAATCCTGGCACTGGGGAAGCCGAGACAGGCAGATTTCCAGAGCTCGCTGGCCAGACAGCCTATGGAATCAGTGAGCTCCAGGTTTTGTGAGAGACCCTGTCTCAAAAAGTAAGGGGAGAGTAACTGAAGAAGCCATGACATCAACTCCAGGGCTGTGCACACATAACACACACCACACACACAACAAACACACACACATAACACACACACACACACACACACACACACACACACACACACACTATAGCTTTGAAACAAATGCAGAATAGCCAAGGTGGGTTACCAATGTCAGTAGCCAAAATAATAATTCAGTGAAAATCAACCATGTCAATACAAGAGATTGCTTTAGCATCACTGACATGAATCAATTCTGTGACTTCTTTGCCAGGCATGTTGAGGCCAGGACTCTAGGTGGGCAATGTGATTGAAGGAGATTCGGTCACACACAGTTATATTTAGTGACATATGGATTGAAGAGGGACCAGCAATAAATAGAGGGAAGCCTTGATTCAAAGGGCAGGGTTTCTCTCTGCTGCTGGATTTCTCTATAATTAACCAATTAAGGCCATCTCCCTGTCTCCTGTGGGAGTTTTCTCTGCCAGGGAGAATGAGGTTGCAGCCCTAACCATACAGACCTATAATAAACCATCTGGGTGATGAAGGATAGCTTCAGATATACTTAGATTATTCCCAAGAGGTGGCTGAATACATGTGTGGTATTCTTAGTCTCAGTAGAAATAATTTCTCAGAGGAACTAAGTGTATTCTGACACTGTCTTTTAAGTCCCCAGTTAGTCTTATCACATGACTCTAGCAAAAGAGATTGAATGTTACTGGGCCTATTAAGCAACCTTGAGCCTGGAATAGATCAAACAAGGCTCCCACCAACCATACCAATTGCTTCACTTGTCCTGTTATTCAGTAACATGATTGTGTGATAGTATGGGGGTGGGGTGGGAAGAAGAAAATGTATTATATGAGAATTTATGTTAACTAAGGAATCATTCAAATTTAACATTAATATTTATATTATTTAGAGGTATAAAACCACAGTGCTATTTTGTTTTTCAGAGTTCAAATCTACTAAGGACTCTACTACTAAGGAGAACATGAGTCTGCAGAGAGAGCAGTTTATGGGAAGAGTAGACAATTCAAATACCACAGGAGCATATTACTGAATGGCTCTTAACAGAAGAATTGATTGCAAAGTTGTCTGACTGTTGCTTTTAGAAATATTCTATTACCAGCACAGGAAGAAATATCTTTTACTCCCCCTTCCCCTTGTTTTGGAAGAACTGTGCTGTTATGCAATATTTATGTAGAGTCATGGAAATGATAGCCAGGCCACTTCATTTTCACATGGGTCTTCAGATGAAGATTTAGAAATGAAAGACCAGCAGAAAGCAAAGACTAGGACTTGGCCCTGTGCCCGTCACCTTCTAATCAGAAGGTGGGTCCTGACACCAAAGAGCCGGGTTAAAACAGAGAAGGGGGAAAGGGCATTGGAGGACCAAGGGACTTTTGCCACAACTGATGAATGGGTAGGATTTACACAGCTAAGGACCAGAGAAGGCCCTGGAGCAGAGAGTGAGAAGAGATGAATGGGAGTACTGGAGGCACTTAAAGAGGTGTGTTTCCTGACTCTTCTGTGTTTCACCTCTGGGTCTGTAGCTCTTTGTTAACGATTCCCTTACATGTGTTCAGTGAGAAGTGATGCGAAGATGAGGAGGCCAGCCATGCAGGCAGGATACAAGCTCTGCCCTTTGATGAAGGTTGTAACACCCCTCAGCCAAAGGAAAATTCCAGCACAGTTGGTCACACTGGCAGAACATTTCCGTTGGATTTTTTTTCTCTGTCTGTGTCAGGAACAAGGCTGGGGCACAGGGTGGGAGGAGGGCAGAACTGGGGTAGGTTCTAAGGCAGGTCACAACTCAGGGCTTCTTAATTAGAAACAGCGATCAAGGAGGGAGCCTGTCGTGCAGCTGGAGACAAAAAAAAAAATCCTACATGGAAATTCATGAGAATGGTTGGTTGCCTCTAGGGGAAAGGTTGGGAAGGGGGTGGAAGCAGGGAATGGCACAAAAGACTCTTCCATCTTGCCTGTAACGTTAATATTTAAGAAGAATATCAGGTTAGGGTGTAGCTCAGTGGTCTAGCCCCTAGTCATATGCAAGGCCCTAGGTTCAGTCACCAGTGCTGGGGGTGGAGGGTTATATTTTCATATGTTATCTGACTAAAAACTGATTTTAAAAGCACAAGTTGCTGCCTTAAAGGGTAGAGGAGTAGGGCAGTGGTAGAACACTTTCATAGCATGCCCAACCCCCTCCCCCAAGAGATCTTAAATTTAAAAATTCGATGGAGAAGGGAGAGGTGCACAGAGGGAAAAGTGGGCAGGAAGCCATGACCAATAGCCTAAGCCTTCCTGGCTGCTGGGCTAAGGCAACCAAAAGGATGAGTGAGGAGGAGTGGGGGCAAATGGAATGGCAATGGTCTCAAACAAGAATCGACTGGATCACAAAAGAAGCAAAAGGAAGAAAGAGGTAACAGAATTCTGAGAGAAACTTGTGAGGAGAAAATGAGCCTGAGTCAAGCCTAGCTCACCTTTCCTGTTAGATTGAGGATCCCCCACAGCAGTTCTCACAGAGGGGAGCAAATATTGGCTCCTGAAACTGGGCCTGTGACCCAGGTTGCTCCTCTCAAACAACCTTGTCCTGGGTGGTGGAGGACATAACGGCGCAGGACTCAGGGAAATTCACACGTGGAAAGGACCACCCGCAGTCTCCTGCCCTCTCAAACTTTCTACCAATGCCACACCACCACACCCCTCCCGTGACTCATCCGGTTAGCTCCTGAAATAGAAAGAGCTAGCTGCCTCCTGTTCAGGGCTTCCCTCAAGGATGTCCCTGGAGAGTCCCCAAGAGGCGTGGGGACCACCTTTCCTGCAAGGAGATGCCTTCTTAAGTCTGTGGTCCTCACTGTCCTCGGCACTCAGGAAGGTAATCGTTCAGCTTAGAGAGAGGCCCACCGCCCTTCTGATGCCCTCAGGTTCCTGCATCTATCTGCACCGCACCCACCACCTTGGCTCTGTACCCAGGCTCTTCAACTCTGACGTATGATGTGTTCTGGGCTCCCCCAGAGGATGCCCCCCGCCCCAGGATTCCCTTCCGGAGATTAGGCGGGAGGCGTGGGGTGACGGGGAGCTGGGGGTGGGAGGAGCAGGGCAGTTACCTCATTGAAGCCCTCCTGCAGGACGTCCAGTAAGTTCCCGCGGGTCAGGCAGGCTAGCATTGTTCCTGCCGTGGGGCTCCCCGGGTGGGGTCGAGCCGCCTCCTCCTCCTCCCTCTGCACACAAAGGCAATCGGCTCAGCTCCCTGGGATCTCTCCTGAGTCCCGCATGCCACTTACTGGAAACCTAGAGCCGAGCCAAACTAGCGGCTTGCACTGGGCATGCTCGCGCGCAGGCCGCAGCCGGAGGGGCCCTGGCGCCGTGTTGGTTCCTATAGAAACAGTCAGGCGCGCACGGCAGGCACCGAGAGGCAAGCGGCCAGCCCCGGGCAGCCCGTGAGTGCGGGGGAATCCGAGGGCGCGCGCACACGCTCCGGACTGGTGCGCGCGCACACGCGCGCGCAGAGAGCACTCACACACGCGTACACACCTACACACCCATGCTGACACAAGTGGGCTTGCCAGCACGAGCATATGCTTACAATCACTACACTGCAGGTTTGGAGACGGGCATCCCCGCGCGTGCGCACGCACACGCAGGCGAACACACACACACACACACACACACACACACACACACACACACACACACACACACACT